GTTTACCAGTGTGCATGAAGTGCTCACCCGTAGAGGCTGTGGCAGAGGTGTTAGGACCGAAAATAAGCAGGTGTAATGCGGAAGCTAGTAAAGCAAACCTCGTAAGACCACGAGTAAGAAGATAAACGAGAAATATACCAAAAGACACAAAGATTTAACGTGGTTCGATCATCCGATCTACGTCCACAAAGGAGATGAGCAATCCACTATAAATATGAGAGTACAAAATACAGAGAGAAACAAACTCAACCAATTCACTCAGAATACATGGGAGGTTCACACAAGTGATAACATATCAAGCTTGTGACCCATAAATTCTCCCTCTAACCAAAACTCTCAAAGCTCTTAAGAAAATGTTGTGAATGTTGATTAAGTTAGAAGGAGCATGCCTCTATTTATAGAGTCCTAAACCTTTTCCTACCAGAAAAAGGACTTGACAATCCAAAACATTTTCCTAAAAGGAAAACTTATTTATGGTAAGAAATTTAGGACAAATAAAACCAACAAGAGGTGGAAACAGTTGCACGTTATCTTGGGGTTCCAAAAAAAAAAAAAGGCTTAGTCATGAACACTTGTACAAGTTTCCCAACAATATTCTGTTTTCTGTCTCTTTTTGCAACTGGCCACATAGAAGGAGAAAACCACACAGACCACCAAAGTCATTTAGCTCCATCCAATGAGAATAACTATTGTCTTCCTTCCTTGTTTCATAATCTTGTTATGTGTTCTAGTCTTCACAAGTTTTGCATATGAAAATTCTCATGAATCAAGAAACAGAGGGATTTGCATCTTGAAACATGTATCTGGAGTGCAAGAAAAAGAGAACGAGGGTGAAAGCGCAAGAAGAGGAGGTAAATTCCATTTAGATACCTATAACAATGAGTTTGAGTTAAAAACTAAGCACTTGATAGCTCATGTAGGGAAGGGACAGAGAGGAAGAGGACCAAATGGAGGTTCGAACAACCTTCATCATACGCGTCCTTATAAAAGTTCAGCGTGAAGCAGCCCTTCATCTTCACATCAACTGCTGATGCCATATTCAGATTCTCTCTTCTTCTTGTAGTGCTATTTGTCTTTCCATGATAAGTTCCACTATGTTAGTAAATTTGTAAGTGGACAGTCTTATTAACATGATTTATAAGATTGTTGATGCATTATTTGTCTTTCTTCCTCACGCCCCCTCTCAGGGCGTGGAGTTAGTAAGGGCCCGGGGGTTCATCCAACCTCCCTTCGGCAGTAAATTATACTTTCTATACATGTTAAAATTACTTTTTTATGTATATGTAGTAAAAATGGAACTTCCTTTTGACTTTTCCTAATGTTTACTTCTTCATATTTTAAACCCTTAATGAAAATCAGTAAGTAGCTAAACAGTCATGCCTTAGAACACGGTCCCATATATAGGTAGCCCATCCCAAGATTTGGTACGAAGCTCTTTGAAAAGATTGGTAAGATACTCGACTTCAGTTGAAGATCGGGTGATTGTTCTCTATTTCTTGTATGACCAACTAATATGTGTTAAGCCAAGATAGATAACATAAGCAGAAGTACAGGTAAGATTGTGGTCTCTTGATGAATTGATATCGATATAAACATGAACGGCGACATTAGATCCGATCCATGTGAATAGTTGATTTGAGATACTAAAGGAGACGTTTCACTGCTTGCAAATGTGTGTGATATGGTTGATGCATAAATTAGGAGATTTTATTAACAACATAACAAAGCTTATGTTTGGTATAATAAATGTAAGAGAGTGACAGTGACTTATGTAGGATTTTTAGTAAGCAGTCATCTTTGAATAAATAAATAACATAACATAATATTATATACGACAAAAAGTTTTTGCCTAAAATATATTTAAAGTATTGAAAATGGTATAAAATTACCCTTCAACAACCTACTGACTCCAAAATGTCCTTTTGATCTACTTATTGGCTCCAAAATACCCTTGTCATCCATCTATGGTTCAAAATTGACCACTTCTTTAATTTTTTTAAACTTAAACTCTTTAAATATTTTTTAAAATACTTAACGTTCAACTACTGGTTATAATTTAATTTATTAATATAATTTATAAATCATCCCATTACTCACTCATTACTAGCTAAACCCCATCAAATTAATAATCCAATTATAATATCAAAATCGCCATAAACATTACTAAAACACGATGAAATTATAGATTCCTGAAAATGACATCTAAATTTATTTGAGTCAGAATTGAAGTCCCAATTAAATTTAGGTTGAGCCGCTTATTTAGGAGGACAGTTTCAATAGGATTCTTTTTCAAGATTGAATTATAAATTTATTATTAAAGGTAAAAAAGTAATACATTCCGAATTAATTCATGCACTTTTTTAAATATAATTTTATAAATATATATAATGCAATTGGCAAGCTTATCGGTAACTTTTATTTAAACATTTGAATGTATGATAATTTACTTCTATAGATAATTTTCGCCTCAAATTTTTAAATACACTCAATTGGCAGTAGCTTAATAGTTGTTGCATTAATAATGTGACGAGATTATTTAATTTTGAGGGGTTTAATTAGTAATGGATGGGTAGTGAATTGATTTATAAATCATATTAATAAGTTAAATTGTAACAAATAGATGAGCACCACATATTTAAAAAAATATTTAAATAGTTTAAATACAAAACCGTAAAATAAGTGGTCAATTTGAACCAAAAAGTAGATGACAAGGGTATTTTGGATCAATAGGTGGGTGAGAAGCGTATTTTGGAGCCAATAGGTGGATGGAGGGTAATTTTGTACCATTTCCAATACTTTGAGGATATATTAGACCCTTTTTCGTATTATATATTACTATGCCTTTTTAAAAAAATTAACAACTTTCAATGATTTTAAAAAAATATATATTCAAAATAATACCATATGAGAGGAGAGGAAAGAAAATAAATAAACAATATAACATCATATATATATATATATATATATATATATATATATATATATATATATATATATATATATATATATATATATATATTGATTTTCTTCTTTTCTAAAAAAATGTATTCAAAATTATACCATGGGAGAAAGAAGGCGAAAGAAAAAAAAAAAAAAGAAAGAACATAAAAACAGTAATACCTAATAAGTTTTAACACTACACACAGAGTTGATTAAAGGAGTATCACATTTATAATATATAACTGTATTTCTATTTTTTTATTCTTCACACTAAACATATTTTGTAAAAAAATTTGATGAAGCAGCGTCACAAGACACTCTATAACCCTTGCTAAATCTCCGTTAGATATTGGAGCTTGCCAATTGCATTATATATATATATATATATCGCAAAATTCCTAATCTTAAAGTTGATCACTATTTCGCCCTTATCTTACCCCTAAAATAAATCAAATATTAATATTTATTTAATTAAATAAATATTAAGTAGTAGTTATATTTGAATTCATGCATCAAAAAAGATTACAATGCAGCCATATATTCATGTATTAAATGTGGTAATGAAGAGTCCATTAATTTTAATTATCAGGGGGTAGTGAAGAGTCTATCAAAGACGCTCACACAACATTATTTATATTTCCTTCTTTCGTCCAAATTTGTGATCATCTTATATTTTATATTAGGTTAATTTACACCATTTTAAATTTTTCATTCCAATTTGTAATTGTAAGAATTCTACCATTTCATTTATTTGTATTCTTTGAAAAACATTAACCCAATAATACAATATTATTAAATTAATAACACTTTTTCAATTCGATTTATCAATTGGTTCAACTTTGCAGATCCTTAATAGGTCAAATGTATTACCTTTTCTTTAGAATATTTTGTTAGTCGTAGAGGTGAATAACTAATTGAAGAAATATTAAAAACTACTAAGACTACAAACATGATTAGACTCTTAGTTATAGTTTCTATAATTACGATTAGGGGTGCACATAGGTCGGTTCGATTTGACTTTTTATTTTAAAAAAATTTAAACCAATTATGTCGGTTTATCAAATCTAAAAATTAAATCAAATCATATAAAATCAGTTTTTTCGATTTCGGTTTTAGTCAGTTCTTTCGGATTTTTTCACTTTTTTTTACAACTATGCCGTATTTGAAAAAGTGATAAACATTTTTTCACTTACATGTGTGATAAACTAAACTTAAAAAATGTTAAGTGACTAGAAACTTTCGAAAAGACTGTCAAATTCACATGAGTACAAAATATTTTTTTTTTGAAATATCATTATGCTAAACTAATAAGATTAAAAGTTAGATCCAAACTGAATACAAAAAATATTTACAAAGTAAATTGTTAACTTTGAATTTGAAAAACTGTAACAATATAATTATAACTTCGGATCTTAACAAAAAACAAAATATTTACAATTTTTACAAGTCCAAATTTAAAATAAAATAGATAAACATTGAAAACTATTTAAAATATATGAACAAAGTAGATTATAAATAATATTTTTTTAGTTATAAATAAAAATTTTATATATATATATATATATATATATATATATATAATTTAACAAATCCAAATTTGAAATAAAATATATAAAATTGAAAATCATAAACTAACTAAAACTATACCACCAAAGTAGATTATATGTAAATAATATTTTTTATCTATAAATAAAATAAAGTATGTGTATATATATGTGTGCGCGTGGATTTGATTCTTTTTTTTTAATACCAAACCAATCAAGAATGGCCGGATTTTTTTTTTCAATTGCCAAGCCAATTAAACCAAACTACAAGTCGATTTTTTTTTTTGATTTGATTTAATTTATTGATTTGGTGACTTAATAATGTGGTTTGTACACCCTAATTATAATATATAGCTACATGTTAAAAGAAAAAGAGAGATGAGGAGAGACAAAGGAGGAAGACATACCATGATTTATATATTAATAGATATTTATATTACAAATACAACTAATCATTACAATTATATTAAACCGTGATGCAAATCAATTGTATAAAGTATATATATAACAAGAAATGCAATATTCCTAATTAATAAGCTTAGGTTAGAGTGGTTGAGCATTAAACTAACATGACTTTGGTCTCGCAAGTGTGCGACTGTGGTGTCGTTGCGGGGATCTCTCCTCACCATTGAACAAGGAAAAGGAGGAGCTCTCCATTCTCGCATACACATTGATTATGTTTTTGCTCGGAAAAGGACCTATGTTCGACGCCAATATCTCCGCCATCCATCGGTTGAAGGTAACGGACTTCCGCTTTCATTTCATCGTAAGCTCTTTTTCCCTTTCGCATTTCAATTCTCTCGCATAATTATATGTTTTTGCTTAAGATATATGCCTACGGTTTTGCAGATCTGTTGTATTACCATTGATTTGTCCAATTCATTCGTTTATTTTGTTTCCTGTTAGATGATTAATTTGAGTAATTGTCTAATTACTTTCTTTGGGAAAATCTGGGTTTTTTTAATGCTTATTCGATTGAATAAGAAGTATCATAAAATTGAGATCCATATATACCTTTACATCCATTTGGAATAGAGGAGTTCAATTTTGTGCAGTGAATAGTGAGCTTGAAAAAGTTTGCATTACTACAAACTCTAACTAGGGCATATCGTAGTTAAGGAAAGGAAGTGAGGCACTTATTCGAATCGAATAGCTGAAACTACTATAACTCCTATATTTTCTGCTTTAAGAGAAGCCTTCTAGCTAGTTTTGAAGTGTTGAAGAGAGAGATAGGATTTTCTAAAGGTAGTTGTTGAGGAAGCAATTTCTAACTGGGATTGAGGCACACGGTCTAGTGAGTTCCAACTTTGTGAATTATACATGCTTAGTTGGGAAGGGATTTAAGGTATTCAGTTTTTTTCTTTTTTGAAGAATAAGTATATCAGGCTTAAGTGCAATTATGGATCAGAAAGAGGTCTTGGTCTGATAATTCTAGAAGTTTGATACAATCAACTTCCAGAAAAGGTGAACAACATGGCAGATATAACTTTATTGAGGAAGTACAGATAGATGAATGAGAATTGAGAATATGTTGGGGCTGGAGGAAATTAAGGAAGGTATAGTACAATTTTACAAGCATTTGTACATGGAAAGGGGGAATATGGAGACTGACATAGGACGGAATCTCATGTAGGAGTATCACCTTGATGGAAAAAGATACTTTGGAGTAAAGTTTAAAGAAAGAGGAGGTAGAAATGCAGATCACATTGGATTCACTATGATGCTCTTCATTGTTAGGTAATTGTTAGTGATATGGAATGTAATATTTAGACCACTAACCACTTCTATGACACATGGACTTTTGAGAAGAGTTCCACTGCTTCTTTCATCGTGCTCATCCCAACAAGACTGAAGGTGATATGAAAGAATTCAAACCCATTAGTCTTGTAGGGAGTGTATTACAAGGTTCTAGCTGGTTGGATGAAATTGGTGACCGATAATCTTATCTCAAATCTTAGAATTCCTTTGTTGGAGGAAGAAAAATTCATGATGCATCCCTTACGGCAAATGATATGAATGATTTAAGGTATCCATCCTAGTGAATGGTACTCCAAGAGGATTCTTTCGAAAGTTCAAGGGAATTAGACCAGGAGAATCCCTAACCATTACTATTTCTTTTTTTTTAATAGATGCTTTCAGTAGGCTTATAAACTAAGTTGATAGGATTCGGGTGTGGGTGTTAGATATGGGTGTGGATCTAGAGGTTGAATCCTCCATGATCTATTTTTTTAGTAGGTTTATAGACAGTTGGTACAATTTGGGTGTGGGTCTAGAGGTTGAATCCTTCCTGATCCAATTTTTTCGGAGGTATGGATTTAGTTAAGGATACAGATGCAAGGATTCGGTTAATAAACCTCAAATATCTAAAACTAGAGTTATACGTCTGAATTATTAGATATTATAGGTGTGTTTGCTATGGAGGAAAATATTTTTTCAGAAAATGTTTTTCAATTTTCTCATGTTTAGTTGGTTACTTTGCTAAATATTTTCTCTAAGAGAGCAAGTTCCTTAAAAATGAGAAATATGACTTTCCTAATGGAAGATGGGAAAACAAGTTCTTAGTGACATTCCAAGTTCATTGTTTCCTCCTCACTTACTCAAAACCCCCTTTCATTCGAACTCCCACTCACCACCTCATCTCACCCCATAAATGTTCTTATGATGATTTGTTTTTTCTTACTTACGAAACACTAGAAAATAAGTTAAAACATCACTTACTTTTCAACAAAACATTTTCCATGGAAAATATTTTTCTTCATACCAAACACACTTGTGGAAAATTAACAGGGTATTCCGAGGAGAAAATATTGATACAGAGGAGGATTCCAGAAGGAGATATAACAAAAAGGAATGACATAGAAATTTCTGTATAAAAGACATTCCATTTTCTTCAATTTCACCTTACGTTTTGATTTAATTATAGAAATTATTGTATTTTTCTCAAATTTCTCCCTCGATTTTTGTCAAAGTACCCAAAATTGGATGACCATATTAATTCCCACACCCACATGGTGTCGACACAAATGTAGCACTGAAACTGAAGGATTCGAGGTAGATGATAAGAGGAGGGGTAATATGTCTTATATTATTTATTGTTTGTTGACAATACACTAGTCTCGTCCGAACTACAATAGAAGGAATCAATTGCAAGTTGGAGATTGGAGAGGATCGACATTCAGCAATGAAAGGAACACGAAACCACCCTATCTCTTTTGGAGTATATGGAACTAGCAGAATAGAAGATTGTTTCATGATGTTGAAATTGCTGTACAAAGAATTAAAAGAACTTATTTTTTACTTGTATTTTTGGGGTAAGGAGAAAATAAATTATTTCTTTTTCCGTAACTGTGGTGTCTAGGCCAACTTGCTTTTACTTCAACTAACTTTACTGGATATCTATTATCTTCCACCCACACAGGTACCAAATAACTCTATCCTCTAAAACCTAAATAGAAATGAAGAAATCACTTACTCCCTACGTCCCAATTTATGTACACCGTTTGACTGAGCATGAAGTTGAGAAATAAGGGAAGACTTTGTTTTTTTACCAAATTGCCCTTATTAGAGTCACTTTGGTACTAATTTTTACTTTTTAGTAGACTTTTCTTCACAATAAAGTGTTAACTGGGATCCAATAAGGATAAAGTGAGGATGATGTCATTTAATAGTTGTCAATTAAAAAAGTGACATTCTTTTTGGGATGGACTACAAAGGGAAGGGTGTCACCATTCCATATAAATTGAGACAGAGGGAGTAGTATTTTTTGCCTCTGCTGGGATTTGAACTTGGTGTGGACTGTGGAGACACTAGGACTCAAGAGAAGTGACACCATGTTGTATTTGATGGTTAAAGCTTCGGCGGAAGACTATGTATGACTCAAGCAGAGTCACACACACTTATTTTTTGACACCTACTTACTGTTAATTAATGAACTTTTTGACTTGTAATCAAAATTGCATTTGCTAAAACAATCCGCATGCATAGCCAAAATGCATCAGCACTATCTCACCATCTTTTCTAAAGAGCCTCAGAGTGTTGCCTGTTGTAGTGTAAAACTGTCTTTCCAACACATTATGTGTTTGAAGAAAAGTGTTTGATCTGTTAATTGCTGCTGATTAACCTCTTTTATAGCACTCTTAATGCTTATCATGTCGAATTTATGTAGGTGCAGCAATTGTGTCGAGTTGCAAAAGATTCAGTGAATAAGCTATGGTTCTTGAAGTTAATATATCTTCACCTCATAGGAGGTCACAGTCACTGACTGCATTTTCAACTTCATCATCATCTAAAAGACAACCACCACGAGGTGATGAATTTGGGAGCTGTGCCACTCTACTTCAGCGCCACCGCTTCCTGTTAACAGCGCTTTCCCTCCTAGCATGTCTCTGCACTATCTATCTCTACTTTGCAGTCACTTTAGGGGCTGCTGACTCATGTTCTGGCTTGAAAGGAACTCAAAAAGCAGCATGCTATGTAGAGCAAGGAAAAACATCGATGGGTAAAGGAAAACTCAAGTTCTTCTAGCACATTGATAATTTTCTAGCTGAAAGAGCGTTTTGCTGAATGACTGCTCCTTTCATTATGAGGGGCATATTCATGTAACTCAGTCTAACTATTCCTCACATGTTATTTCAGACTTGTGTGCAATAGTTTGTTTATATATATCAAATTCCACAAATTTTGATCCAGGAAACTGTTTTGACATGGGGGAAAATTCTCTGTTGCTAAGGAATCGATGCGACTGTTTGAGTTGCATTTTCTTGTGGTATACAGATGTAAATCTGGAAATGTAGCAGTATAACTGGCAAGAGGTCAACTATATATACAGATACGATCAATCGCAGTATATAAGCTAGAAATATAATTAATTGGAGAATTGTGATAAATGATTATGGCTCGACTGGCATCCAACAAGATTAAATCATATAAAGAACAAAATTGGACATAATATTGCTATGAAGCTGAGTAAACAAGTAGAAAAAGAAGTATTCCTACACTACTCTCCTTTTAAATGCTGCTGGCGACGATCATGGAAGATAATGCAAACAGAGGATGCGATCAGCCCCAGCAAGTAGCCAGCCATAGCTCCATAACTCACACATACAGGCCATTCCTACAATCACAGATTTTGCATACATCAGAACAAACAAACAGAGAAACCCAACCTATCCAATTTACAGCCCGGATAGTTCTGCAGAATAGCAAATCAAAAGTACACAAAGACCACAACACGTAACACTAACAGAAGTTTTGCCTGCAAAGGTGGAAGGGGGTAGTCTAGATTTCATCGAACATTGGCTACATTATAAGGTAAAAGGTTGGCTACTTTCTCTAAAGAGGATACTAAAGTTTAGAACACTACATTCAACCAGTTCTCAAACTCAAGAAATCAAAAAGCATGACCATCTCATCTAAGGTCTAATGGAAGAGACACACTTTTACTTAATTATATTTGCAGCAATGACAAACACCTAATAGATAAAAGCACAAAGATGGAAGAACTTGAGTGCTAATCTAATGAATTTTGGTTAGATCACGATAAGGCAGGAGCTATTTTCTAACTATAATTCAAAAACATTCAAGACCTTGTCCAAAAAGTGGACTTACAACTACGATTGCATTCACCAAAGGGGAGCATAATTGTAACACAATGCATATCTCATTTCCTCCCAAATAAAGAATCCAAAGAATGTAAACTTCTTCACGCTCTCTCTCTATGGTTTATTTTAAAGTAGGAAAGCAGAAAAGTTTTCCAACATGTGCCTTTCTTTTTCAGACGAGAAAAGGACATGTTGGTGCCAAGAAGGTATAATCCTATACAAGGAAACGGAGAAAGAGTGAATACAAAAACAAATTATACAAAATGTACAGTTCTTGGAGACGTGGGCTGTTCGGAAAAAAAGAACGAAGTACTATTCAGATTTCATGTTTGATCTACCAAACTGCAGTATGCTAAAGGTGAAATTTTAACTGATCTGAGTTTACAACTTCCTTGTTCGAAAGCTCAGACAAATAGGAACATAGATGCTGATGGATTAGGTTTGCCTTGTAACTTTTATGTTTTTCCATCACAAAACAATTTTAGTTAGTAGACTTGTCAAACTTTGGGCAGAAATAGATTTACTGAATCACATTATTGAATCTGAAACTCAAAAGATTGAGGATGAAAATAGACCATAACCGTTACTGCAACTGGACTGACTTATGGACTGATCATTAGATGTCCCAACTATCCAAGTTTACAGCAGCGTACCTGCCATGGCCTTCCCCAATCAAGTGGCATAGCGCAAGCACCGAGCCATGCTCCAATAACAGCTCCATAGGCTGGTAGGCGGATCATGTAGTCTATGAAACTAAATGCCCTGCAAGAATAAAACATGCATAAAATATATCATGGAGAGTTCTTAGATCAAGATATTAAACGCCCATTAATCAGGGGGACAGAAGTTACTTTGTTGAAGCAAACACTCTGCGCCAATGAGTCCAAGCTGAACCAAAAGCGCAAGTTGCTGGGACAAACTGCCAAGCAACATAATAGAAAACATGAAAAGGACAACTATCAAAGCCGCAAATACAAAAACAATTTTTTATCGAAGTGGCCAACATAGATAGAAAGCATGTTTGTTCTTGCTTTTCAATGATGAATGAACAAAGAGAGAATTTTCAGTACAAAGTGAATGAGCCCCTGAAAATTTCTTTTCCTCTTCAAACTTCAAAGTATTTTAAGAAAAACATAAAATAAAATCACTACATAAGTGGAGACTTATTTGATATATTTTAAGGAGACAACTTTTTCGCAGGAAATAGAAGTCCACAGTTTGGATACTCACAGTGAATGATGACATCAGAAGAGACCAATTCAGGGTCTTGGTAAAATACCTACAGTAAGATAACCAACCAAGGACAAACTGGAGTAAGGACCATTAACTTAGCTCAACAACATCAAAGTAACTTCTTTCTGATAAATAAAATCAAAGCAAATAAACAGCCATTAAGAATATTGATAGAGTAGTATAACGAGAGGGAGAAGGATTCACATATGGTATTCATTGACCTGGAAAAGCCTACGACAAATATCTATGGGTGTTCTTTGGAATAGTTTGGAGCTAAACATGTATAGGTAGATCACATTGGAGCAATTTAGGACATGTATAATGGAGCCAAGCGCTAAGTGAGGACAATGGGAGGTCACTCTAATTAAACTTCCAAGTCGTGATGGGACTGCACCAGGAATCACCTTGGTCAGTTTCAAATTGCGTTGGTGATGGATGTACTAACAAAGCATATTCAGGGAGATATGCCATAGTGTATGCTTTGCCGATGACATGGTTTTGATTGATGAGACACATGACAGAGTTGACCATAGATTAGAGGTTCGGAGACCGAGCCTGCAGTCTAAAGGGAGAGTTCAGATTGAGCATGGCTAAGACAAAACACTTCAAGTGCAAGTTTAGTGATATAACTCACGTGGCAAATGTGGAAGTAAGAAAGTATCAAGTACCTAGGGTAAAAATTTCAATGAGATGGGGAGATTAATGATGATGGTACATGTCGTATTGGAGGGGGTTATGGAATGTAAGCTTGCATCTGGTGTCTTGCGTGACAAGAATGTGCTATCAAACCTTAAAAGTAAGTTTTATAAAGTGGTGGTCAGGCTAGCTATATTGTATGTGGTGAAGCATTGGCCGGTCAAAGAACTCACATGTTCAAAAGATAGGAGTAGCTGAGAATATTGAGATGGATGTGTGGGAACACTAAAAAGCTATGATCCGGAACGAAGTTACTTGAAACAAGGTGAGAGTGATCTACATTGTAGACAAGATGCGGTAGGCAAAACTGAGATGGTTCATACATATGAAGAGGTGCATGAGGTTGACTATAGTAGCAGGTAGATGTAGGTCAAAAAATTCTTGGAGATAGATGATTAGACAAAACATGACTCACATGTAGTTCAGCAAGGACATCACGGACATCATCTTAGATAAGAAGGTGAAGAGGTCGAGAATTAGGGAAAAAGTTAGTAGGTTGCGTTGTCTAGTTTCTCTTTTCAGTATTGTAATTATTACTCCATTCAACCTCATTCTTCAATTTTAGTATTACTTGTTAGTTCCTTAGCTTTAGTTACCATTATTTTGTTGCTGCTACAATTTTTTTCTTCATTCTTTTGAGCATGACTTTTCGACTATATTTACTTTATGTACTTGATTTATTATGTGTTTTACATGAGCAGAGGGTGTATCAGATATGTTGTAAATTATTCACGTAGTCAATGAGATCAGACATTGCGAAGAAATGAACCTTGGCCTTAACTCCGCCTCAAAAGCCAACTCATGAGGGGAGGATTCGGATTGCTCACAACCATAAAAAAATACCACAGCCCATTCCCCAACCAATGTAGGAGGTGGCACTCCCCTTACGTCCAGTATTAAACAACCAAAGACTGCGGTGTGGATAACACAACACAAACATTGAAAAAAGTTACAACATGGATTAATGGATCTGACACTTATAACATGTAAAAATGTAAAATTTTGGCCTAGCTCAACCACAAAAGGTAGCTCATGAGAGAAGATTGTCCAAGACCAAACAAGGAGACCAAAATGCATTTCCTCAACCAATACGGGGCATGACAAACAAAAGCACAAGATAACTCCTATGTTATAAGAGACAAAAACACAAAACAACATCTCCGTTTTAGAAATATATAAGTTCTATTCAAAAGAGAATGTGTCTGAACGGTAAATGGAGGTCATTTTGGAAACTCAGAGAACACTTAGTGATCTATGGTGTATGTAGATCAAACCCTTTTCGCCCAAGCTCAAGCATAGATCACTAATTTGAAATACTTATAACAGAGAGTAACAAATGCATATATGATTACATACTCGAAACCAACAGGTGCTCCCAAGATAATAGCTCCCAGTGCATTAACAATGGCCCCTACAAACATAAAATAAGACAAAGCATTCGCAATATTGAGTACCGACAATATTGGGGATAGAATATTGTTGATGTAGTCCCAGCTAATGAAACCTGCTTCACTTGTCATAAATATTTTGAGGTATACTAAAGAGGAAAGCCCGAATAAAGGCAACACACATGAATACACAGTTAATAGATGAATCATTACTTCAATGGGCAGTGGCGGAGCCAGGAATTTGACAAAGGGTGTCCAGAAATAACAACTTGTTATGTTAAGGGTATCCAAAATATGTTATTTAATCATTTCGTATATCATTTTACTTATATATATGGTATTTTTTTCCGACGAAGGGTGTTCAATTAACCCACCTGTCAAGGGGCAAATACTGTTCCCAAGGACTTCATGCAACAGATGCATTCCGAGAAAAAAGACATGGTTCCAAACCAAGTAATAAACTTATACAGTACCACAACATAGAGTCTCAATCCCTGCGTTGGCTACATGAATTCTCATTATCCATTAATCTATATTTGTTCTTCAATACAGAGAATTCATTCAGAAACTTCCACACATCTTTCACTGTAAATCATTTCAAAATCAAAATGCAAATGCTTATTTTTCTTTAAAAAAAGTTTCTTTTGCCAATTCAAATCCTTAAACTTCATCTGACTGCATGGAAGAAGGTTTTTCATCAATGTGATTCAGAAAAACGCTCTCTTATGTTTAAGGTATTCAACAATTATTACTCAACATTAACAACAATAATAACA